ACTTTAAAAATACCAAGCAAAGCATTCATTACAGCCAAACTTAAATAGGTTCACTGTCATCTTCACCACATCAAATTTCAAAACCGTTACTGATTTAGTTTGCCTCCTTCATCTGTTAGCAAAGAATTACTTCAGTTCAACTACTTAAAACTGTATATAAGGACTAAAGCTATCTACATACACGGAGAAGCATCTTAATGTATTTAACAACACCTGATAAATAAAAAATAAATAAAAAACCCACTTGAACCTGGCTTTATTCCTCAGGTCTCCTGGGTAAGCCAAGCATAAACAGAAAGTTTCCACAAAAGATTTAGTTATTACTGGTTTGAAAAAAGTGTCTATTACCTTTGGATAGCACAGTCTGTACTACTGCAGTGAAAGATGTTCTACAGCCTCAGCAAATACTGAACAGTAACTTTGAGACAGCACTAAAGACGGAAGCTTTTAGTAAATGCTGGAACAAATTCAAGTCTCATGTCTTTGCCACCTCCTTCCTTCTCTCAAAGTCAATGAAGTGAATACAGCCCTTCATTTAAGAATGAGAGGGATTCACAGATAACTCAGTAGTCCTGTCACAGCTGCAGAGATATTTTTTCATTTCATTATCTGATTATTAGGGAAATGGTCTTCCTCAAACCTTGCATGAGCAATGAATCAGTTGGTCATTGTGAAAAAAAAAGTCATTGTAGTAGATCATTAGTCTTGTTATCTTCTGGGGTCACAACTTCTCAGCTGAGCCTCATTTCCAATCCATCCATCTTAGTAATCAACTTTCTTGTTGTTCGTGATCTACTCTATGTATTTAAAGGTTTGATTTCTCCTAGCCCTTCCCTATAAGTCATTTATAGTTAATGCAGTATCCTGCAGCCTCCTTAACTGCTTAATATTAATGTCCCTGGTGTGCCCAGCTACCTTGTGTTTATGCTTGTATCTGTTAAGCTGCTGGGGCTTCCATGGTGTCATGCTCTCATCTAGAAAAACAAAACTTTCCTAATTTTAGGCACTGAGAAAATTCACTCTTTGTCCCTCTCCATAGGAAAGGGTCTTTCTGGTGCACTAAGTCAAACTGTGAATGTCTCATCCTACTGCCTAGTTTAACGGTGCCAGGCTCTGCTTGTTCTCATTTACAGAGCATATAGCAGGGGATGACAGACTGCTGGATCTTTAAAAATAAAACCATGTTAGTTGGCATGGGAGTGTTTGTTATAACAAAACCATAACACCTTGGAAGTCTCAACAGATACCTGAGATATGTCCTGATGTCTGTTCTGTGCCTAAAAATGGAAAAGTCTAGATCTAAGCCTAGATCTTCCGTGAGACTTCACTGTTAGTTTAAATTTAGTTCTTTATCAGCTATGCTGACCTAACGTTTCCTAAATGTTATTCAAATATGAAATCAGTAAGCCTATTTGAAGAGCCAAGGGCTATCATATATACTTCAAAATGTAATATTTCTACAAAGGATATGAGATTCATGGAAACTTCAGAGATTATTTTCTCGTGCTGCTGGTGCTGACTCTCCCTGACAGGAGAAATGGGCAATGTAAGGTTGGTATTTTGTTTATATGACTCTGAATATGAATTTGGGTAAAGTGTTGAAAAGCAAGCTAGCCCCTGCAGTGCACTGACCGTTTCACATAGCATCACGAATTCTGCTTCGCTGCTGTTATCCTGAGCTTGCTTTTGGAAAAGCAATTCTGCCTGACACAGTCCCATTTTGGAAAGAGTTGCTGAAGTCTGCTTTACAAACAGTTACTGAAACAACGAACAATACACAACCAAATGAAATGTGGTGCATCAGTTAAGTAGAGCAACATGATGAAAACAAATTAAACCATCAGAAAAGTGAGTTGAACAATTACTTCCATTCTTCTTTTCTGAAAGTCACTGTGTACAGTAGGGTAGCATCTTGAATTGTTAAGTACCCTTCCAATACAACATGCAGGCAAATCAAGAACAATCCTTCAATTTGCTGTGTCACATCATGGCGCCTGCATAAGCTAAATTCAAGACTCTTTATTGTCGAGAGGCACTACCATTACACTACATTTTAATATGGATCTTTGCCAACAATCATAAACTGAACGTTCACTCATAAACAACCCCTAAAGGCAATGTGTCAAAGTGTGTTTCATTAAAAAAAAAGTTTGCTACAATGTAGCGGAATAGCATGGGCCATGGCCATTGGGACTTTCTTTGCCCTGCGCATCTCTAGGTGTTTTGTCAGTTCCCAAAAAACATTTTAGTTAATGTATGCCATGCCTGCCCGAAGATCCCTCTTGCTAATGGATGAAAAAGTCACAGCTAAAAGATAGAGAAAATCAGGACGATTTTCAAGAGATGTCTAACGTGGGAAACATATAAAAGCTATCAGGGAAAAAAACACGGAGAAGACAGAAAAAATTGTAAATGACTTGCAGAACAGTGATGAGAAAAAATTCTCATTAACAACCTGGTGGTTACATGAAAACTGTATTTGCTAAATAAAGATTAAATCTACAAGTGGCAACATATTCAACTGGTCCCTGTTATGTAAATTCTGAAACTTTCATAAACCAGAAAATGTCACTTGGCACTCTTAAAAAGTCTGCTGTATGGATTAAATAACTGGACAACCTTTCTCAAACTCAGCAAGAAACATGTGAAATAAAAGATAAATGTCTCTCTGTTTACTAGACCACTGTGGTCCATAGCAATAAACAGTTTTAAAAGGCTTTAATTTATAAAGTAACCCCCTGTTTTTTCTGCTCTCTGGCCTACTCCTGTACTCTCAGCAATTAGCAGCTCACTGCATACATTTGGAAGTGTAAGGCTGAATTACTTTTACAGAAAGCTGCATTTAGTAACTCATTACAAGGCTGACATCACTGAAACAAAAGTTCAGTCATGTCGGGATGTGGCAGAGGTTATCATGCAGCACATTACTAATATACTGGGGGGAAAGATTATGTCAACTGCCTGCGAGCGTCCACATCCAGGATGCAATCTCTCCAGGGGATAAACACTCTTGGCAAACACTGAAACACAGAAATCTTCTTCGCAGAGCTGTTTGCAATTTGCAGCCAAAGCTATCCACAAACGCTGGGACCCAGGACTACAGTCCTTGACAGCACACGGCTCCAGACGTTTCCATGGGGGAAGTTTAATCTACAAGGATGTAGAAATATAAAACAAAGTATTGCTCAAAGTAACTGTTTGTCAGATCATGTGCGTCTAATTTGGTTTCCAGTGACATTACACAGCTGCAGCCAATGGACTCCAGCCAGGCCCAGCAGTCACTGAGGTTCTTTTTGTTTTAAATTTAGTATCTGAACATGTTTTGCCCATCATTAAAATGGAGAGTACTTGCTCAAAAGTGAACCATAGATGTTACAACTGCAAAGAACTTATTAGGTCACCTAGGCCCATCCTCAGAGCAATGCAGGATTGAAAACACACTGCAACAAATACTGAGCAGAGCTGTATCTGTTTTCGGTTTGTTGGTTTTTTTTCTATTCTTTTTTTTTCTTTATTGTAATCATTAATCAGTATATTCAGAAGTTTAAAAAACAACCACAAATGCCAGTGTAAACATGCTTCAGGTATATAAGTAATATAAAGTATTGCACATACAAAAGTCCTATGTTCAGTATCTTCTTCCGGTGCTACTTCATCAGAGTAAGAGTTGTGCAGATGATGTGGCTGTAATAAGCTAGCTGATCTTATTTCAGAAGCTGCTACACACAACAGTTCAATATTTACAAAAGCTAGATGCTGTCTTTTTCATAGGAGGATGATTTTGCCTGGAATGTATGAGATACAGAAGTGTGCAAATATGGGATAGGCTTGCTTTGTGGTGGTATTTATCAGCTGATCTCTCTAATCGACAAGGGGTCAGCACAAACGCATTTGGGGGAAGAGGTCTGTTAATGGTTTTCAGGGAAACCAAGAAGTGGTCAGGTCTTCCCATCCTCAGATGCTTCACCTCCATGAAATGGCAGAACTGTAAAATCTCCTGTCAGGATGACAGAATTGACCATGTCTCATGGCTAGTCTTGCCCTGAAGTCTTAGGAAGCTTATCTTAAAGGAGCCAAGAACTGGCAGAATTCCAATTAAGAAGCTGAGATGGATTGGAAAGAAAATGAGTTCAGGAGAAGGCAAGTGTGATGTATGTTTCAGAAAATGAGCAATTCCTCCTGCAATTTACACAGTATAGCTAATTTCACTCTCCCAAGCAGCACTGGAAGACTCGAGCTTCCAGGCACAATTTGCAGAGATTGGAGCTTAGAGCTCTTGCTGAGATAAGGAGCACTTGCTGATAGAAGAGAAAGAATGAAGCCTCTCTTCTTCATAATCCTTGACACAGAAAAAAAATAATACTAAATTTATATTTTTACTCTTTACCTCAAAGTATCTTTTCTTCTTTTATTCAGGATTGTCTGGCTGGCATCCTCCTTTTCTGCAGAAGTACAAATCCTGCCCACCTTCCCTGCAAGACTTTGCTTAAGAATGAATTATATTCAGCCCTAAACTTAGCTGAAATCAATACTTTAAATATGCTTCCAGCCTGTAAATTGTAAAATAAAATTAAAAAAGGCAAAGATTTCTTTAGGTGAGCAGTGTTATGGTCTACAGCTCAGCTTAAACAGAAGATACAAATGCAGTAGCCCTTCCATTTTAGGAGGCATTTTCAAGAAAGTAGCAGGGCAATGGTAATGAAAGTTTACCCAAGCCCGAAACCCCCAAGCCTTCACAGTATCACCAGTGTGGCTGTGATAATTTACATTGGATTTTCACAAATGACTGTATCCTGTGTCAGCTGTACAGGTGTCAGCCACCAGCAATGCAAAGAAAGGGCAACTCAGCCCTTGCTCTGTACTGTGCATGAATTTAGTTATCTGGGTGTGATACCACCAGCTCTGGGTTGAAAGAGATGGAACACGTACTTGTTTATCACATCTCATCTTGTAAAATATTGCATAATTCTTCTGCTTTGCAAAAAAACCCCTAGTAGCCAAAAAAAGATGTGTTTTGTGTGTACAATGGATTTACTTTTCTATTTACATGCAAAGTGAGTACATGATTTCTATCTTTTTTACTTCTCTCAAAAACTAAGTTGGTGATTATATACGATACTTATCCTGAAGAAGTGGAAAAATAAATAATTGTGCTCCATCTATACAGTTCCATATAGACTACCTTTGTTTTTCAGAAGTACTTTCACAGTACTGATATATTGCTTGTCTCCCTGAGCCATAATTTCATAAAAGTTCTTATTCTTAGGGAGGTGTCAAAGGCATTCTGCATGATACAGTAGCATTCAGAAGTTTTGTCCTGCTCCATCTTCAAGACAGTACAGCAATGCAGGTGTTCTCTCCTCAGGAGAGTTGGGCTTGTTCTGGAAGCATCTCAGTATACCACACGTGTTCAGAAGTATCTGCTGAAATGTAGACTGACTGGATATGGAACGAACATTCTATTCAGTGGTGAGTATGTTTGTAAGGCAGTGATAAAGCTGCTTTCTTTGGCAAGGATGACCATCATGTGGCATGTTCTCAGAACGTTGCATAGATTGGATTATGACACCATGTCACTTGCAGGTACAAAGGAAGACTGGTGGAAGGAATCCTTATTTCAATCCTCATCATTTTTCTAGTCTCTGGTAGGATTTTGACTTGAACTGTCACTCTCTTCCTCTATGCATCAGTAGTCTTGTTATTTGTCAGTTGTTCCCTGTCAGCCATGTCATCTTGAGGAGGTCTAGCTCTGTCAAAGAAGCCACACTGCAGGAAAAAATCGACAGAAACAAAGGCGTCATGGTAAGACAATCCCAGGAAGACTCAGCTGCAGTTTGGTTCTTCACTCAGTCAACCTGAAAGGACGGTTACAATCTATGGCAGGCTGATAGACTGTGAAGCATTTTTATTTCTATTCAGATTGTTCCCTATTAAAAACGGAAGTTTTAGATGCAAGGCAACTTTAGTTCCAAAGTATAGCTTTAAAAATTCAAATTATATGTAAGATGTCTTTGCAGGAGATGTAAAGTTGGTCTGAATGCTGATACTGACTGACCATAATGTGAAAACTGCTAGTTTCAGTTCAGCTAGACATTAATTCAGAGAAGATATTTAGATTGACAAAGAGCAATATAACAGAGGTGAATAAGTGTTGGGAAATGTGCATGGGACAGTGTTGTGACCTAGACTAAAGATCAATAAAGCTGAGATTCCTCTCACCTAAGTTTAGCTGCCTAAAAGTTACCCTTTTGGTCAAAAGGTTGAAAGTTATGTAGGCTTCACAAGAGGTCAAAGGAGAGTACCACCAAAACAACAGGATGACATTCCTGTCATCCTCCCTTATTTTAGACCTAGTTTTTGCTGTTGTTAACTGACTAGATGAATCTGAAAAGTTAGCATCGGCTGGACACTTAACCCATAACATTTAGGCAGGTAAAGGTAGATAAGCTAAATTCTAACTTACGAAATTATTTAAATTTTTTTTTTAATGGGAACTGGGAGGATGACTGAAAGCCATGTTGGCTCTCTGTAATACAGCATTTTCCAGTAAGTTGTGTTAAAACTTGTGAAGGGAATGTAACAACTTACAGAGAACTATAAAACTTGAAAAACAGAAGATGTGACATACTAATATAAAAGGAAATCTTCTAAAAATTAATTCTCAAAACCTGGAGTGTTGTTACATGCTGACAAAAACTGGAGATTCCTGAAGTATTCAGAGAAAACAAAGTTAGAGTAACTTCTTTTTGAACATAAATATCCTGGAAAAGAGAATCATAGGTCTTGGAAAACAGAGTAAAATTCCGTATGCCCATTTATAACCAGACTTTAATAACAAAGGAGGACTTTGAAAACAAGTTCCCTGCATAAAGGTCAATGACACTAGCATGTCAGAAATTCCAAAATAAAGAAGAGAGATGTGTATTGTTGCTTTTGTTTCAAACTGTTAAAGACCACAAAATTCCAGCCTCTTTTTCTTATCTGTTAACATCTTCCAATATCTTCCAATATCTTTCAGATTTTTTTTTAAGGCAACAGTAACAATAATAATGCAACATACCTTCCATAAAGCTAGGGTCAACATAGCTAGTACCAGTAGTCCAAGAAGTATTGCTAGTATTATAACCCATAAAGGGATTACAAAGGAGACATTTGGAGTGGACCAAATGACAGATGTTCTAATCTGAAATAAAAAACAAAACATAAAATAAACAAAAATTAAAGAACCAAGGCAAATCTGACAGTAGAGTATGCAGGTTCTAAGCATTCACTTCAATAGCATTTTGCAGATTAGTGATGCATGTTGCTTGATACCCTCCCATGTTGGCTTCATTTACTGCAAGTTCCTTTCCACTTGTTCATGATAATTACTAAAAACGGAATTCACACATATACGAAAGTCTTGTCGTGTAAGACATACGAATTGTTTTCACTTAATACAGAGTAGCAAAAAAAATACCCTTGTGGGTAGATGCTTCAAGAAGATTCAAGGATTCGAAGTTCTACTCATATGTATGCTGGTACAGCCTAGGCCAGTATAACCAACTTAATGTTGAATTACTCTGAAACAGTGGTTGACTTAGGTCCAAACTCCTAATTCAAACTACAATAGATACCAGTTACATTATTCTTTAGAATCTGTTGACACACCAGTACACACTTTTTCTATAACTTCAAGCAGTCAAAAAATGAAATTCAAGCAGGGCGCATTGTCCTTGCAATAAAGCCTAGTGCACAGTATGATGTTATGCTCCTCAAAAGAAGCCGAACGTATGGACCATGACCTAAACAGGAAATAAGCTTGAAATGCTCTCTCATTGCCTGAGGCTCTAGAAAGCAGCAGGTGTGTATGAGTTATCAAAGGTTTTAATTGACTTGGCACAGTTCTCTCTTTAGACCTTCATCTTGACAAAGATTAATAATAACCCTTTGGTATTTCTCCTTCTGGGACCATCCATGTAAGTAACTTCCTCCTCCCTCTCTGTTCCATACTTTGTACCAAACTTATTCCACGTTCTCAAACTCACCTTGGAAGGCTCCTCATTGTTCTCATTGAATAGTTGCTATCTCCCTGGTGGTCCCCAGTGGGAAGGAAAGAGTTTGAGCTTTCCTTAGATCCTCAGCCACAACTATTTCCCTTCAGTTTTAGTTTATTTTTGTCAACCTTTCCTCTTTATTGTTAGCCCATGAAATTATTTCTCTCTGGCGTTTTCTGTTGGACCTCTCTCATTTACTCCTAGTCTCCTTTACACATGATAAGTATGTGACAGATGGAAGTTATTTTCTTCATGACAAGATGAAATTGGTTTGCAAAGCAAAGTGATTACATAAACTCTCAGATGATCTTGCTCTTCAGTGCTTGAGGTACAGATAGGAAATCTACTCTTTTTAGTAAGTTTCTTGGCTACTGCCCAGTCCCTGATCTGCACTCACTGCAAATTCTCCTTCTACTTGTTTTGTTGCTATTAACTCACCGGTTGATGTGCCTGATAATTAATACAACACTGATTTGTTCATTCACAGAACAGCATCCTAAGTTTGAAGACTGGACACAACTCTGTAAGCCAGTTCAAAATCAACTCCATTTCTGTGCCTTTCACTTTTCTCCTTGAAGATGGCAAATTTCAGCCTTTCTGCAACATCTAGCCCTTTCCTCTCTCAGCATACTTTCCTAGACTTTCCATTCTGCAAGCCCCAGCAGGTATGTCTTCTCCCAGCTACCGTCATGCTTAATTGGAAGACACTTTGAAATAGTCCTTTCTGCTTACTTCATCTGTGAAGCCAACTGTACCCTACTCTGACACAACGCTTAGAAAGATGGCACTCTGCTGAGGTCCTCTGATGCATATATTTTTAAAGTATTCTCACTGTTATAGGACACAGATCATAGTTGAAATTAGGGACAAACTTTCTATGTAGGAAACTGCTTGCCTTCTACCAAAGCTTACACTGAGGGTCGCATAGAAAATTCAGAGACACCGCCCAGTCCTTCTGCTGTTTGCACTTCAATGTTGACCTGTACCCTGAAGATTAAGTAGTTGCAGTGGTGGCTATACCACCGCTGATCTAACAAACACATCCAGCTGGTATTTCTCTGGTGCAACTATAAAGGATTATTACTAGATAGTATATACAAAGAATAAATACATTAACCAACTGCAGGAAGAAGAAATATTTCAAGGTGAAGAGAGTTAATAAAAAAACCTCCTGAAATCCCACCTCGGGGTCCCAACAGCTATCTTGCTGCTGTGATCAAGTGATTGACTATGTCACTGCAAGGATGCCATTCCCTTCCTCAGCTTCCTCTTCGGGTTGCTTCTTAACCACGGCACAACTTCATAGGCTCTCTGTAGCATTAGATTCAGCAAGAGCAGTGCTCATTTAATAAGGACGAGATGTTTATGAATGGCTCTCCCTGTCTCTCAGAGTGGTACTGTATCTGGCATTAAAGTGCAAGGGCAGAGAAAATGAGAAGGTCATCTGAACTGTCTGCAGAGATTCCTCCCCAAGAAAAGCCGGTTAAGTAAAAGATGAATGCAAGTTTTGAAGATCTGATCACATATAGCACAAGAGTTGGCAAGTGCTGATGAAAATTCAGTGGGCCCGAAGACAGCAAAAACTGAGATTGACTAAAAAAACCACTCATCCACATTGCTTCCTCTGTTGGAAAATTCTGTGGTACTACATAGAAGAAATTGTAATTTTAAAAATTATTTGTCCTTTGAAAAGGATCTGACACTATCAACAGATAGCATAAATACTCATGTCAGGTTTTAGCTTCGCCAGTTTCTGTTCTAACACTCTCACTTCTCTAAGCATGTTGCTGTGGAGCTGGAGCAATAAAGCAATAGATCACTTCCCAAAATCACCTTAACATGCATTTGTAAAAAGCAAACCCAAACAGCTCTTTCTGTTCTCTCAAGTTTGACAAAATGACGGACTCCATTTTACGGTAGGATCAAGCCTGAGGGAAGATCTATTTGCTTGCAAAAATTTGATTTAGCCACTTTTGGTATTAATAGCTTGAGCCAAATTCCTAGGTAACATAATGTGACTGAGAGTCCTTCTGTCGTTCTGCCTTTCCAGGCAGTGGAGTGCAAATTACAGTGGAATTTCAGTAGCTCAGCTGGAGCCTGACAAATGTTGAAATATAAACAAGAAACTGTAATCTTACAGAAGTGCAGAACATCATGTTTATAATCCTTAGATTATCAGCAATGAGTAAAACAGACATCAGAAATTAGGTCTATCCTGTATCAAGAAGAATGCTGCTGCAAAGCTGCCACATCTCTCTTCTCTTGCAGCAGGAGTGAGGCCAATGGCTAATGAAATATTTGCCTGCTAAAATCTTAAAACCATCTTGTTGCACCCACACACTTTTCCCATGAATTCTTCTTTGTCTTAGGTTTTTTGAAAGCAAGGGAAGGGTTGTGCTAAGTGCTTGAGATTTACTTCCTGAGCAGAGGATTCTTTGTAGTCGTCAGTCTCACTCCTGCCTTACCAGTGTGCATTACCAGGAGAATATAATGCCCCTGGGCTACCTCCTTTCATACTCTGTACAAAGACTTGCAGGGCTACGAATGCAATTCCTGGTAAACATTTTGATACTGCAAGTCCTGAACATCTGCAGAGTTGAGGCAGAAACTGGAGGGGAAGAAAGTAACAAAGCATCCCTTCAGCTTTGCCTGCCTTGTTTCACAGAAAACTGTCCCTCCTCCACCCCATGCTGTCCACAAGAGTTTTACATATGATTTTGATTTAAGACAAGTTTGTGTTATTGAGCTTGGATTTCTGTTCTTCTCCATGTGGTAGGTTTAGTACTGCAGGATCAGAGCCAGAGAACATTTCAGGAGGGATTTATCTGTTTTCATCTAAGGTGGCCGGTAAGAAGGAGTGGAATTTTTACACAAGTGTTGCATGTTGGCAACTTTGGATGCACATTGGCTTTCCTCTCTGTTCAGGACTAGAGGACTTTCTTGTACTGAACACTGAAAACAGTGGTTGCTTCTCTGTCAGGCTGGTGAAAATCATGCCTCCCTGTCAGGCTGGTGAAAATCATGCCTCCCAGACTTGAGAGGAGCCATCTGACTTTTGGCCTTTCCCATTGCTGAATGTCTTGTACCTTTTGTACCCAAGGAGGTGACACGGAATGTCATCTGGCTCAAGTGCTGAGATGAGAGTGAAGCCAACCACAGAGTTACAGATGGAGTTTTGTCTGCTATTGGAAATAAAATTCAATTTGGTCTTAGCACAAATGCTGTCTGATAGTCTTAACTTCAGAATCACTATTGTGGTTCCATGAAAGTTACTTGTTGTTCATGAAAGTATTTCTATGAGGGGGGTGTGATTTTCCTTATTTTAAATGTGCCAGGGTTAAGCAGATTTTCAGTAGATAAAAGAACAACTAGGACTTTTGCCACTGATTTTTGTATAGCTTAGATTTTGCCCCTGATATTGGTGCTACTCATTGTAGCTTCAAAATTGTCTTTAATTCCACTGGAAGGCAGCATAACACAGAAGAGCAAATGTGGTAACCTGCTGGTTCATCTGCAGTCCCTTGCAGACAGACAGAAATTAGGTCTTCCTAGTGCAAACATCCAGCATCTATGGTCAGAATTCGGTGCCTGCTAGCGGGATTCTCACAAAGCTATTTTTTTCCTCTTGTCCTTTAAAACACACTTTCAAAAATAAAAATAACTTATCCATAATTTAATTTGCTACTTTAGAAACAATAGCTAAAATTATTATTATTCTAATGCTCCACTTTTACAACCCATGATGACCTTCCTTCAATCTTTAGTCGTTTTTCTTACAGGGACTGAGGAACAAGAACTCTTCGGTACTCCTACATGTTCCCATCCAATGTTTGCAGCGTGATGTTCTTGTATGCTCTGAAAAAATGCTCAAAATAGAATGTAAAAGTTCCCTTGAGCTTAGAGTCATAATTAATATTGACATTTATGTTCACATTTTACAAATGTTTGTGGAACTATATTTAATAAGGAATATAGGCACACTTAAAATGAAAGTACTATCACTGTGTGTAATAGCTAAAAAAAGAGTTACAAGCCTTAGTCTGAAACCAGTTTTACTCACTGCTGGACATTGGTCAAAGAGTTTAGACTAAAGGCATCACCTCTGAAGAGCCTATCAAACATTTAAGAAAAGCAATCATATTTTATTAAACTCCAAAACTGTCTCAAGAATCATAAATTAAAATGGAGCAAATTACTTATTCTAACTTTGTATAATAAAAAGTACTGTCACCTTGCATATGAAATTCATCAAGTAGGATAGTATTATTTACCACAATAATACCTCTAACAAAAAAAAAGATGATTTGCTTTTGAATGATGCAGCTGTTAGCAAGGAAATCCAGCCAGTTGTAAAATGTATAATTATAATCCCAGGCTTATCAAAATTAATAGAAATACTTTTATTGATGTCAGTGGATTTTGGTTTAAGCTCCATTAAGTTCCAAAATAATTTTCTGTTTGATGCCATTTTCACTCATGTAAGATTCTTCTTACATTTCCATTACCTTTCATACACCTCTGTATCATGATCCTCTTTCAAGATATAGGCCTATATTCCATGATGATGGAAATAAAGATCTCAGTGCTGCAAATCTGACTACATGACTGTGCAGGTTAGTGATGCATATGGGGTTATTCATGCCCCTAAAATTCAATATATATATAAAAGCCTGCATAATTGGAACACAGCACTGTATGAGTTAAATGAAGGACTTATGCTCTTTTTTTTTTAGAATATACTATCTTCACTATATAAACTGTAAAGTGGTAGCTGATGATTAGATACATACTTTTGACAATTCATTTTAAAATACTAAAATGTTTATTCCACTTTCACTCTTGCATTGTCTGAAATAAAACCATGAACTTAGAAATAAATCTTTGGAAACTTTTAAAACACAACCAGTGATCTTTTTCAGAAGGAACAAAAATATTAAGCATTGCCTAACTTCAGGCAAATATTTCTTCTTGCAAGTGGAACATCAAAAGAGCTTGTGCATATAACACATCAAGCTGTAGAGCTGGCAAACATCCACTGCCATGTCCAGATATGAAACAACATAAAAGCGCTATCATTTTTCAACATTTTACAGTTGCCATTACAGGCATTTTGCTGTAAATCATCTGCAGCAAATAACAAGCATTATACTGGCTGGAGTAAGAGAATAAAATGCTTATCGGATCATTTGGTAGATATCTGACGCTTGCAGAGAACAGCAGGCTATCACCTGGGGTAAAGCACTTCAGTCCAGATGAAGGCACCACTATCAATAGAGTTCTGCACAACATGTGTTTCTGGTATGGAACACATGCCGCAAGAAAATAAAAAGAGCCTGAGTATATCTGTCAGCTTGGAGCCTTTGAAGCTTTCTGGATGAATACTGCATTAAGCATCAAACCTCTCTGGTGAACTCATGGTTCTCCTGACGTTAGATGTTGGAGTCACTGGGCATATAGGACCAAGATTTCACCTTGTGTCTTCCCAGAGCAAGTATCAATCAACCATTCAATCTGTGCTGGTTCAAAAAAAAACTTTATAGCCTGTGTCATCTAAACCAAACTCCAAGTAAGCTATTATGTTAGTTTTTCATATAAGAAAATATTCAGTTCCCTACTACTACATCTCAACTGACCGATATGATGTATTTGCAGCATGATTGACCTTGGAACAGTTCGTACTGGTTTTATCTTTCAAAAGAAGGACTGTAAATGATAAACCTAATCATAAAGATGGAAACAATAAAGATGAGAATGATAAGCCTTTAGATTTCAGGTTATTTATATTAAAATCAAATTCCGCACTCATATTTTACCTATTTCTATCCGTAATGACAAAATAGAGTGAATTTTAACAATGGTATTAGACATCATAAGAAGCAAATTCCTTTAAATTTCTTTCCAAACAGTGCTTTGGCACCAGTAAACAATTAAATCAAACTTATGCCTTCAAGATTAATTTTTCATATAATAATCCAGGGCCATATAAATCTTGCTGTGAATAAGGCAACTACTTTAGTATCTCTCCCTCTCTTTTTTGTCTCTCTCTCATCTGTAGGGATTACCAGGTAATTTCATATCTTGCACTTGATGAGCTGTGAGGTGGAAACCCTACAGAGGCATGCAGACTTTTCTGAAAATCAGGGTATCGAAGAAGTTTAATACAGATAAGAGAGAAGTCGCCATACATAATCCATAAACTTATGTTCCTGACTGGGAGAAGAGTGAGATTGCTAAACCTAATAGTAACAAGATTTTTGATTTTGCTCAAAAATTTCCTTCAGACTTTTTTACTCCAGACAAGGTTATTAGACATTCGCTTTCACAGTTTTGGTTTTTTTTTTTCTTCTGGGTGAAAAATCCACCCTGATTATAATAAAATGATCTGCACATTAATGCAGCAAGAAATTATTTCAAAATGGAATTAGTATCATATATCATCAATTTCGACAGAAAGCAATAAAGGTATTTCCTTTAGGTATTATTTCAGGAATTTACACTAGAAACACAGGAAAGACTGATCTCAGTGTTTTTATCTATAAAAACTTTCACAGCTGTGATCAGAATGACTAAATACATGTGCTTCACACAAAGATACAATTTCCAGTTACTTACTGCTATGCTTCCCTCGGGGAGCTTTGCTGGTTGCACTTTATATGGCATGCTCTTCACTTCGAAGGACACATTGGAAGAAAGAGTATAGAGATCATTCTTCCTCTGAAATGATATAAAAAATAAATTATTAAAAACCATGTTTATACTTAAAAACATTATGAGAAATAAGCAGAGAAAAAGTACAGAGCACTGATTTCCTAAGGCAAAGATGGTTTCTTTAAGTAAAGGGTACAGCAGTTCTGGGACCTATATGTGTCCATGAGACAATCTCATGGAACAGCATAGAGCTGAAATATAAAGACCACATGTTCAAGCAGGGAAGAAGGGTTAGATATGGAGAAAGACACATGGAGTTTTTTCTCATAATTCTCTCTGAAATAGGAGACTGGTGACTTTGGAGAAGGGAGCAGGTTTATAGGGTGTCTAGGTTTTAAAACCTTGCCTCTGCTCACCAAGCCAACAACAAACACAGGCATCTTGAAAAGATTTCCAGGCCTATGTTGAGACCAGGTTGGTAGAGCTCCCTGATGGCATCAAAGGAATGGCTGTGCCTTCCCACCAAAGAACAACAACAGGAACAAATATCTTTGCACTTCACTCAGAGTGAATTGATTTCCTATTGCAGGAGACCTCAAAGAACCCAGAATTCACCTTGCTTTTTTACTACTTTGTGCAACTACAATAGGAATGCATAGCAGTCACTGTTTAACTGTCTAATAAAATATTTATATAGCTCTCATTAAGCACTTCAGCAAACCCAAAGATGTGCAGACAAAACAAAATATATCTCTGTCAGTTCTCTGTGTTTCATTTATACTTGCTTTTATTTATAAAATATTACTAGATTAGATTAGACTAGGTTACATTACATTAGACAGTGCGTTTCCTGGTTCAGAATGATTAAAATCTGTTATATCATATAGCTCATGCTGTGACTTTTAATTAGTGCTTTCACCTCATTGGGAAGCCAGGTAGGCACTGACACACTACTTCTGACCAATTGTGTCTCCTTGTACTGTTCTGACCTTGACAACAATCTCCTACTCTGTGCAAACTGCCTTGAAATGATAATTAAATGCTGGTATGCCCTCTGGAAAAATGCCTGCCTAAATCTCTTGCAACGGGACATAAGCACTGACATGTGAAAGTGCATGTCCATTAAAAGAATCTTAACCATTGCAACATTTACTAGAATGGATCAAATACTTTCCACACACATATGTTGAATCCCGTTGAACTCTTGGCATCATTGGTATCTAACTTAAGTTTTGAAGGCTAAGTACATCAGGTGTCAAGTAAATCTTTCAGTCCACTTTGAATTTGACATGTTTCAGTTTCACTGAATGTTATTTTGTTACAGATAGAAGATCCTGCACTTCAACTATGTCCCCTTCTTCCTTGTTTTTATCCGAAGATAGACTGGCTAAGTGGTTACCATGCTCTTCTGGAAGTCAACAAACCTGTTTCTAATTCCATCTCTGCAACTGATTTTTTGGATGACACTACATGCAATTTGTATGTTCCACCCCATGTAAAATAGGGGTAATTACATGGATCTGCTTTGAAAATGCTTTGATATGCTCTGAAAAGCATGACATAGATAGTTAAGTGCCAATATGCCCACTGAAATCCAGAGGACTAGGAGTTATGACTATCATTATATCCTTCTACATTAGACTCCTTAAGGTAAATGACTTCCATCTTTTGTATGAGAATATTTTTGAAGCCCTTAAGCATTTTTGCTAGCTGTCTCAATCCTTTCTGAAATATAATGACCAGAATTCAACACAGTATTTGCCTACAGAGCCTTGTAAGTAAAGCAATCTTTCATTTTGGTACCAGCTTCTTACAGTCCAGTGTATTTGGAACGTTGCTGTCACTTCCTAAATCCCTTTTTGCAAAACTCTCTTTCCTTCTGCTTCTCACACATTTAGGAATTTTGCTCCATTGACAAGTCTTGGTTCTTCTGTGATTTCTCAGCATGTTTTCCACCCTGTTAGGTGATGTTTTATTCTGGAATCTCCAGTTTCAAAAAAGGCACAAACACTCTCTAAGAATTGCTTCTTCCCTTTCAATTATTTTGTGGAGCAAAGACTGAAGGTAAGACAACCCCACAATGATATGGGCTACTGCTTCTTTCCTTCACTGATGGAGAAAAGTTTGTTTGTGAAAATGACCTGAAATAAGCATAACCTAAACCTGGGAGCCAACCTGGATGCAGATAGAAGGCCAAAGCTGGAAGGTACCTCTGGAGACCATCTACTCCAACCACATGCTCAGTAAAGGTCAACTGGAGTAGTATGTTCAGGGTCATGTCCAGCTGGGTTTTGAGTATCTCCAAGAAAGAATGGAAACTCCACAACGTCTAGGAGAAACATATTCCAGTATTTGACTACCCTCAAATTAAAAAGGTTTTTCTTATGTTTAAATGGAATTTCAGGTATTTTATTTTACACTTCTTCCCTCTTGTCCTCTTACTGGATATTATTAAGAAAAGCCTGGCTCTGTCTTCTTTATTTCCTCCTATCAGATATTTATACACATGGAAAAGATCCCACCTGAGCCTTCCCTTCTCCAGACTGAACAGCCCCATATCTCCATCTCTCTCAGCTTCTCCTTGTATATCAGATTCTCCAAGCCCTTAATTATCGTTGTTGCCCTTGGCTGGTCTTGCTCATGTCTGACTTGTCCCAGGTAGCCCAGGACTGGATGCAGGACTCCAAACCCCTCTTACTAGTGCTGAGCAGAGAGGAAAAGTCACTCCCTTGACTTGCTGGAACACTCTTCCTAATGCAGCCCAAGAGACTGTTGACTTTCTGGGCTGCAAGGGCACACACAGTGGGCTCGTGTTCAACTTGGTGTCCACCAGGACCCCGAGATTTTTTGCTAAAACACTGTCTTCCACCTGGTTGGCCCACAGCCTGTACTGGTGCAGAGGATTATTCATCTCGTGGTACAGGACTTTGCATTTCCTTTTGTCACATTTCATGAAATTCCTGCCAATTCCTTCATCAGCCTCTCAAGGTCTCTCTGAAGGGCAGTACAACCATCTGGTGTAACAACCCCTCCTTTCACTTCTCTATTATCTACAAACTTTCTGAAAGTGTACTCTGTCTCATTTTTCAATCATCATGTTAAACCATACTGGCGCCAGTATTGATTTCTGGAGCACATCCTTAGTGATGGACCTCCAGCTGGACTTCATGCTGCTGATCACAATGCTTTAAGTCTGGCAGTTTTGAATCCATCTCTCTGTCCACCTATCTTCATTCATTGTGACAGTATCAAAAATCTTGCTCAAGTCAACATAAAAAACAATGACTGCTCTCTGCTCATCCACCAAGAGGAACCTCATTTATCTCAGAAGGTTATCAGGTTGGTCAAGCATGATTTCCCCTTGGTAAGTCCACATTGACAATTCCCAATCACCTTCTTGCCCTTCAGATATTTGTAAATGGCTTCCAGGGTATTTTTCCTTCATAAACTTGTCAGGGATTGAAATGAGGCTGACTGGCTGGTAGTTCTCTAGTTCTTCCTTCCTGAAGACAGATGTGCCATTTGCTTTCTTCCAGTCTTGAGGAACTTCCCTCAATCACCATGACCTTTCTAAGTTAATTGAGAGTGGTCTCACGTTGACATTGACCAGCTCTCTCAGCACTTGTAATTGTATCCCAAAGGGTCCCTTGGACTTTTGTATGTCTGGCTTGTTTAAATGTTCCCCTAACCTGATATTCCTCCACTGGGAATACTGGTTACTGTAGGTTTTCTCTCTGGTTGCAGAGGCCTTGGCTTACTGTATGCAGATTTTACCAATAAACACCAAAGTGAAGGAGGCATTGAGTAACTCAGCCTTTTCAGTGTCCCAGAAGACTCGTATTTTCTCTAGCCCTCCTTTTGCTGCTGTTATACTTAGAGAAGCTCTTCAAGTCCCTTGCCAAGCTCAGCTCCTCGTGGGCTTTTACCTTTCTACCTTTGTCCCTACATACTCAGACACCATTTCTATATTACCAACCCAACCTCTACACTGGGTCAACCGACTCTGCTTCCACCTCTTTTTTATTTCCTTTCTATGTTTGAGTTTTACCAGGAGCTCCTTGTTCATCCAAGCAGGCCTACTGCCACCTTCCCTTAACTTCCTGCATGTCAGGATGGACAATTCTTGAGCTTAAAGGAGGTGATCCTGCAGAATCACTAGTTCTCCTGGTCTCCTCTTTTCTCCAGAACCATCTCCTGTGGAGTTCTTCTAAGCAGATCCCTGAAAAGGCTGAAGGCTGCTCTTCTCAGGTCCAGGGTTGTAGTTCTGTTATTTGCTTTGTCCATTCTGTCTTTTCAAAAAGAGAGTGAGTATTTACCGGTGACACAAAGCCAGCACATGTATTGCCTTCTGGAACTGATTTGGCTAGGCCATAATGCTGTTCTTTTAAAATATTGAGAGCAGCTGAATGTTTATTATCAGAATATTTAAACTCTCCTATTAGGAATGAGCAATATGAAGAAAAGTGCCTCAAATAACTGCATAGTCAAATCAGCTCCTTAACACAGATGGCATCCAATAAAAATGAACTACCTTTTCTATCAACAGTGTTTGAAATGAAAAACAGACTGATTTAATATTGGACTTTGTAAATAAATATTTTAATACACTTTCAGGGTGCTGAACATGAATGAGAGGGCAGTCTGAAAAAATAGCTTTTTCTTGTCATACTAATTATTTTCCATTTTCAGACTCAAGTAATTCTTCACCTTTTATTCTACAGCACTAGGCTCCTCACACAAAGTTCAGCACATTTCTGCAGTTGTGCAACGATTTGCATTCAGAAAAAAAGCCTGAAAAAAAGCCTTATGTTTTCAGTTCTAAGCAATTTATATTAAACAGCATTCCAGGTATAATTTATAAAAGTAAACTGTAATGGAGAGAGGAGGATATGTTAAAGAAGTAGACATTAGACATGCAGCCTGACTGGCCAAGGTACAGTAAAGGCATTAACTCTCTTGAAACATCATAAAAAGGAAACATACTGCTCATGGAAAAATAAATCCTTTCACCTACTATACATGGCTTATTTCATTTTCAGCTTATATCAGCAGTAAGAACATCAGAG